TGGCACAGCCATCAGGCGGTGTTTTCTGCCCCTGACGGCGGTCTGATAGTTTGCTTCCAGTGAAGTTGGACTCCCCGTATCTGGAAGCTGTCAGAAGTGGGAGCATGAAAAGGTCATGGCAGATGGCTGAGGATCGGTGAGTGGGGGGAAACCTGGTAAAGGAGGCAAATGGCCTCGCTTGTTTCCGGGGGAAGGGACTGACCCTGGCCACTCTTGTTCCTTACCTGCCACGGCTGGTAGGGCGGAGCCTCCGGGCACCACTGTGAGGGAGGCACAGGTTGGGCGTAATGGAGCCCTTCCCAGCAGCTCAGTCTTGGGTACTGAGACCTGCCAGATGGAATAACCTTCAGTTGCCATCACTTGTCATGATTATCCGGGACAGAATTCAACCATGCTGAATTCTAATGGAAACCCCCAAAAAGTCAACTTTTTAAAAGATTTGGATTTATTTGGGTGAAATTTTATTTGGAAATTTATTACAGAAAAGGAAAGGATGTAGCCAGAGTTGACCACCGTTGCCAGTTTGCAGCATATCCTTCTCATCTCTTTTCTATAAATGTTTTTTCTGTACTTTTCACATGATGTAAGAATTTCTCCAAGTCAGGCTTTCCTCACACAGAATTTTTCTTGGTTGTGTTCTATTGCGTCATGGTTGGATTAACTAATCCTCTGTTGTTGGCCATTTAAGTTGGAGAAATACAAACTTAACAAAAGCAGGCTTCCCTTGTTTTCTTGGACGTATGTTTGTGATTTGAATTACTTAAAACTAGTGCATAGCAACACTTTGAGGAGTGCCTCTGCCTTTCTTTCAGTGGCTTTACTAAAACTTCAGTCAGGGAAATCAAAACCATGTTCAGCGTTCCAAAAAAACAAAAGAGTACTGATAGGATTTCATGCTCCCATTTCCCATGTATGAACAGAAATAGGTGTGCACTTATTGTCACATTTGAATATTTATTTGTTCCTTGATGAAAATTGAGCAAGAAGACTAAAACTGGGTGGGCAGAGTTCCTCATTATGTCCTCTTGACTCAACTGAATGAGTCTGTGCAGAGCAATGCAAAGAACCATATTTGGGAACCAAAAAGCTGTGGGTGTGAAAATGGCTTTTCCACTTAGAAGCTCTCCAGCCTTAGACAAGCACCTTCCCCTCCCCTGGGGTGTGCTGTGTGAACACCCGGCACAGTTCCTGTGGAATAGTGTAGTGGCTGAGAGGACACCCTCTGGAGCCGCATTGCCCGGCTTTCTCACTTTTTAGCTGTGCAATCTTGGACAAGTTACTTAACCTCCCTGTTCCAGTTTCCTCCTCTGTAAAATAGGAATAAGTGTAGTAACCAACTTTATAAGGTTGTGAGACTTGAATCAGGGTACACAAAGGGTTTCTAGCCATGCTTGGCACATGGTTGGTGCCAGTTAATGTTCACCCCTCTTTGCCCCTGGCCTGGACTGAGGCACCAGCCTCCTAACTGGTCTCCTCTCCACCAGGCTGCCTCCTCCTTCCAACCAAAAAGGAGACATCCATCGGACTCCCAGGTCAGGGACAAAAGAGGTCTCTGCTGCCAGGCTGGATTCTGCAGGCTCTCTCTTCAGCAGTGGGGGCTGGGTGTGCTCAGGAGCCTGGGCTCCTGCGTGGCCTGCCTCCGGCCCCCCGGGGCCAGAATTAGAGAGCTGCCACTTCTCCAGCCAGAGCCAGCAGGGTCCCGTGGGGCCGTGTGCCCTGCTTGAAGACGCTGAGACTCACACACACCTCAGGGAGGATGAGATTATTTAATTGTGCAAAAGGGTTTGTCCATCAGGAAAGATTCCCCTACAGGTTCCTTTAAATAGTGACTCCTCTAGGCAGGTGAGGGTTTTACAGATCATTAACTACTTGACTGAGAGCCTGCAGGGCAGAGAAACTTAAAACTCAAGTGTTGGGGGCCCCTGCCAATTACAGATCAATCCAAAATGAAGATAAAGTATCTCTGGAACTAGAAGTCAGTGGGAAATGTGATTTGATTCAGAAAAAAAAATCTGATTTACGCGCACCTTTTTCGGAACACGCCAATTGTTTAAGTGGTGTTCCACCTGCCTGCCCATCTTGAACCTAAGGCATTCGTCTCCCACGTCTTCATCCTCAAACCCCAGACTTGGGGTTCTCCTTCCTGAACAGTGACTGCACAATAACCCCAGGAAAGGGCGTCATTGGGAAAGTGTTCTTGTGGCTGCACAGAGCTTGGGCAATTGATGTGGAGATATAGCCTGTAATGGATGAACTATACTGTAACAATTTGCAGATAAAAATAATAGAAGTTAAAGTGTACTTTACATGATAAAAGAAAGATGAAAGAGGACTAAAGTCTGTTACATCTGAGATGGTTACAAAAGCCCTGCTTTGTGAAGTAGGCTCTGTTGAAAAGATTGATGCCATGGGGAGTGACCTTGGCTTGGAGCAGGAGCTGGTGATGTATGTATGAGCATCCCCCTGCTAAATGGACCCAGATTTGTAGCACTAATATACATGGGAGCCCAGAACCAAACTCAGGACGGCAATAAATCAACAGCCACTTTGGGTGTCATTTCTGGTTTATATTCCACTGTTGTTCTATCACTTTAATTCATGTCACTATCATCTTTTCATCTGGAACAGTTTTATATAATTTTCCAGTGGAGTTACCTGACAAATCCTATCAAATTAACAAGGTACATTAACAATATTGACTGACTACGGCTTCAGGAGTTACAGGGCCGTAGAACAAAATTTTAAAACCCTGTCTCTCTGGTGATGATTTTTTTCCCCCTTCTCTCTCTGAGAAAGAAATGTGGGCAGGGTCTGTTCCACAGAAGAGAGATGCGCATTTATTTTGCTCTGCTCATTTTGGCTTTTATAAATGTCAGAATAAGCAGAAGGAGAGGGGACCAAAACAAAACAAAACAAAACACTTGCTCCCAACAACCATGGCGTAAGTACTTCTCTTCTGTCAGGGAACTATAGAAATGTCCAGACCTTTAACAATTAATGACCAAATTGGAGGGAAGAGTATAACTGGGTGGTCATAATCTATTTTAAGTGAAATGTAATAAAATCGGTCTCCTGATACATTCTTGCCCTCCTGAAATCATCTAGACCTGAGCGTCCAGAGTCAATTGGACTTATGACATTATGCCTAATTGAAATATGGTGTCCCTGAAATATGTCTAATGACAAATTCCAGCATGCGATTAATAAAAAAATGCCAATTGTTTGTCTTTTCCAAAGACCACAGAATAATGGCCAGGGACGAGCAACCGTATTGACTGTCTCCGAAGACAGCTGATGAGACTCCCTGTAGTCTCCTGCCTTTGTCCTGTCTGTGGATTTCTTTATTCATAAGGTCAAATAGAACCGAATGGAGTCTATGGTAGACCTGAGCATTAGGATTTTGTTTGTATATGTTTTCTTTCTGTTTTGTTTTTTTAATTTGCTTTGAGACTATGGTCATTGTGAGGGTTTTGTGGGGTTTTTGTTGTTGTTATTGTTTTAATTGAACTGTTTTTTAATCTGCTTTTTCTTTTGGCCTACTAAGTTTTCTCACATCATATTGAAACATTTCTAAGGGTGATCCAGAGAATGAAATATATTAACTCTGCTTGTCTTTTCTATTACAGTGTGCACTTTTGATTGTTTTATTCCTAATATCTTTACTTCATTTTGCTCTTTTCACTTTAACCCTGACCTTTAAACTATGGCCTGAGAATTAATTACTTTCTAGACTCCATCTGGGGCCCACTCTGGCAGGCATGTTGAAGGTTTTTGTCTCACTTCATGAACAGAAATCCTCAGTTTTCAGCGGAAGAGGAGAGAGAGAGCATCTAGCCTGGGTTGTGTGTGTCAGGCTGAACCTATACTGCTCGTGACGAGGGAGCAGCGCTGTGCACGTCCACAGGGACCCGGGACACCCTCCGTCCTGGGCGCCACCTGCGTCCTGACACCTTTGCTTCCAGTCCCTGCGCAGTGTGGCACATCTGTCTCAATTCTGAGGGGGAACCCGAAGTGCCAGGATGTAACTTTCTGGATCCCTGTTATAAAGTCCTGTGGCATAAAGCCCACACCCCCTGCTGACTCTCCCTCAGTGGAGCGGTGACCTCCACAGCCTGAAGCCAGGCTCCAGCACGTAAACTTGGACGGCTTTATGTGAAGAACCTTTGATCCTCCTGCGACTTCCTTTAAGTCTAGCGTGGATAATGTCAGAGAAGGGAAGAGAGAGGTTTTTCCCATTTTTAGTTTGTGAGATTTTTCCAATTAGAAACTTCATTGGTAGCTTGGCTATTTAGGCTAATGTTACATATAGGTGATAGTACAGATTTATCTCCAACCCAGATCTTATTCTAAAATAACAACAAAAAAGACCACTGGGGAGGGCGGGGGGGAGACCACTGATGCCCCGCTGGGTGGCTCAGTTGGTTGGCACGTCATCCTGTAACCAAAACGGTTGCGGGTGTGATCCCGCATGCAGGAGGCAACCGATTGATGTTGCTCGCACATAGGAAACATCGTGTTCTCTCTCTCTCTCTTTCTCTCTCTCTCTCTAATCAAATATATATACATATATATTTCTTTATATCCTTGGGTGAAGATTACAAAAAAAAAAACACAGACCACTGATCATAATTGGTTTTTAAATGAGCCTTATAGTTTATGTGATTGGTAATATATAGATGATGTAGGATTAACACAGTGTAAGTAATTGTTTCTGTGTTATATCTACGAAGGCATATTTCTTAATACTTTTTTATGTAATTTTTGGTTGTCCACCCCCTCACCTCACCCACTCGAGAAACCAAACAAACTGTGCAGCTTCTGTGTGCCATTTGGAGTCTACTTATGTCTGTCTTAAGCCCATGGCCTTCCCCAGAGCCCTAAGAAAGAGCTCGTGTACCTCCAGTGTATGATTTACAAAGCAGGTCGAATGATTAAACTGAAATCACTTACACCTTCCACTTCTTGTGGCTTCTTTTTTTGTCCTCCCCTCGGCCTTACAGGTATCTCTGGAGACAAAGTAGAGATAGACCCTGTTACGAATCAGAAAGCCAGCACTAAGTTTTGGATTAAGCAGAAACCCATCTCAATCGATTCCGACCTGCTCTGTGCCTGTGACCTTGCTGAAGAAAAAAGCCCCAGTGAGTAGTCCCTTTTATTTATGTCTCCTTTCTCTCTCCCCCTCTCCCCTGTGTGCTGGGTGCCAGGAGAATATATTACCACCGTGTCCTTTTTTCCTTGGGTCTGTTTAATTCATTACCAGAAATTTCTTTTAATCAAATGGGATTGTGTTATGGTGCCCAGAGCCTGACATGGTCCCCCCCCTGCTCCGTCTTGATGGCAGCGGAGAACCTCACAGCTCCTGACCCCAGGAGCCTCGCCTGGGCGCCGGGGGAGGAGGGGCCTTCCTGCTGACTCTGTGCCGTCACCAGAGCCCTCATGTCACTTGGTGCTTCCTGCCTCTTCGCTTCCGGGGGACGTGGCCAGTTAGTCCTGGACCTGCCTTCCTTCCCTGCCAGATCGGGGAAGCGGGGGATTTCCTCTGTCAGCTGAAGACTAGATTTAGATATCCATCATGCTGAGGTGTCAACACCCTCCAGATTATTGGCAGTTGCACGACCTACCAGCTCGTAATTAAACTCCTGCCTGGTCCTGCAGAAGAGATCGCTGCGGGTTGGCCATCCTCTGCGTAAACTATGAAAGTAGATACAGTCTGGTTGTATATTTGGGCATATTATGTTTTTGTAGTTTAGTAATTGAGTGTAGCAGTTAGGTTAATCATTTTTAGGACTTCAGTGGCATTGAGGGGCAGAAAGGACACACAGATCACACTGAAATTCCTCCGTGGAAGAAAAAATTTTAAATATAGAAGGATTTGTTAGTTGCCTAGAGAAGGCTACGAGACAGTGGTTCTCAAAGTCTGGTCCATATTAGCATTGCCTGTGGAGTTTACCTAAAATGCAATTACTGTCCTAGCTGGTTTTTCTCAGTGGTTAGAGCATTGACCTATGGACTAAAGGGTCGTGGGTTCAATTCTAGTCAAGGACATGTACCTCGGGTTGCAGGCTTGAGGCCAGGGAATGTGCAGATGGCAACCAATCAATGTGTCTCTCTCACATTAATGTTTCTCTCTCTCTCTGTCTCTCCCCCTCCCTTCCACTCTCTAAAAATCAATGGGGGAAAAATATCCTCATGTGAGGATAAATAAAAATGCAGTTACCCACTGCCCACCCCAGTAGGTTCTGATTTGGTAACTTGGAGTATAACTTAAGCATCTAATTTTTTTTTAATATATTTTATTGATTTTTTTACAGAGAGGAAGGGAGAGGGATAGAGAGTTAGAAACATCGATGAGAGAGAAACATCGATCAGCTGCCTCCTGCACACTCCCTACTGGGGATGTGCCCGCAACCGAGGTACATGCCCTTGACCGGAATCGAACCTGGGACCCTTGAGTCCGTAGGCCGATGCTCTATCCACTGAGCCAAACCGGTTAGGGCTTAAGCATCTAATTTTTGTTGTTCCCCTTTTTACCAGTGTCCACTAAATTTGAGAACAATGTTATAAGGAATGATAAGAGATGTAAAGGCCTGCAAGTGTTTATAATGTGGTTCCAGTTTTTGAGCTAATACTGACTAAACAGGGGCCTAAAGAGCACAGAGCCCCTGCAGGGGGCCTGTAGGCTGGGCACATGCCACACAGCCTCGTTTATGGGTGGGCATGTCACGTTGCATCCGTTCCAGTTGTGCTGGGCTGCGTAGTCTTCTCTTCAATTCATTGGCTGCAGCTTGGGAAGAAGGGAGAACTTAGTGGGATAGGGCAGTGGTCGGCAAATTCACTAGTCAACAGAGCCAAATATCAACAGTACAACGATTGAAATTTCTTTTGAGAGCCAAATTTTCTAAACTTAAACTATATAGGTAGGTACATTGTTATTAACTTAATTAGGGTACTCCTAAGCTGGCCTTTGCTAAAAACGTCCTCAATCTGATTGAGGTACGTTCGCTGAGGTCGACCCCTTCCAACTCTCCCATCCACACTCGTCTTGTACACTTGTTTCATCTATCTCCTTTTGTTCATCCTCTCTATATGTCCACCCCCCACTTCTTCTAACGCCACTTCTTCAAAATAGACTCGCCCAGGCCAAAAACTGACTTCTGTGCATGGGCCACGAAGTTTGAATCGCACTATACGTGCGCGCCCGCACGTGGTATTTTATGGAAGAGCCACACTCAAGGGGCCAAAGAGCCGCATGTGGCTCGCGAGCCACGGTTTGCCGACCACTGGTATAGGAGGAAAGGAGAAAGGCCAAGCCCACCCTCCTTCCCACCATTCCAGTGAGGCCTTGACTGCGATGGCTGCCGGAAGGGGCTGGTGAGAATATCGCCTGCTGCTCTGGGGCCCTTGCCCCAGGGCTGCCCAGTTCCCTTTGCTTTTAAATAAACATCTTCTTCCTAATCCCTCTCACTCCAGCTTGTCGGCCAATAAACATGTCATTGTTCTAGCATCTTTTCTTGTCTGGGAAGCTCTTTATATGTCCTTCGATTCTAAATGATAGCTTTGCTGGGTAGAGTAGTCTTGGTTGTAGGTCCTTGCTTTTCATCGCTTTGAATATTTCTTGCCCAGTCCCTTCTGGCCTACAAAGTTTCTATTGAGAAAACAGCTGATAGTCTTAATGGGAGCTCTCTAAATGCTTTTCTTTAAAAAAAAATAAATAAATTTTACTTCTTAATCCTCACCTGAGGATATGTTAAGAGAGAGGGAGAGAGAAACATCAATGTGAGAGAAAACAGTCCCTTCTGGCCTACAAAGTTTCTATTGAGAAAACAGCTGATAGTCTTAATGGGAGCTCTCTAAGTGCTTTTCTTTAAAAAAAATAAATTTTTCTTCTTAATCCTCACCTGAGGACATGTTGAGAGAGAGGGAGAGAGAAACATCAATGTGAGAGAGAAACATCAATGAGAGAAAGAAATGTTAATCAGTTGCCTTCTGTTCAAACCTGCAACGCAGGTATGTGCCCTGACTGGGAATCGAACCAGCAAGCTTTTGGTACATGGAGAATACTTGACCAACTTAGTCACTCTGTCCAGGCCCAACTGCTTTTCTTGCTGCTTTTAAGATTCTCTCTTTTGTCCTAGCAGTTTGGCTCGGTGGATAGAGCATCGGCCTGCGGACTGAAGGGTTTCAGGTTTGATTCTGGTCAAGGGTACATGCCCTGGTTACGGGCTCTATCCCCAATAGGGGGTGTGCAGGTGGCAGCCGATCAATGATTTCTCTCTCCTCATTGATGTTTCTAGCTCTCTCTTCCTCTCCTTTCCTCTCTGAAATCAATATTAAAAAAAAGATTCTCTCTTTGTCTTTAGTGTTTTGCATTTTAATTATGTGTCTTGGTGTGGGCTTCTTTGGGTTCTCATACTATTTGGAACTCTGCACTTCCTGGACTTGTACGTCTTCTTCCTTTATGGTTAGGGAAATTTTCTGTCATTTTTCCAAATAGTTTTTCAATTTCTTGCTCTCTCTTTTTTCCTTCTGGCACTCCCATGATGCAAATGTTGGTATGCTTGAAGTTGTCCCAGAGGCTCCTTACACTGTCTTCATTTGGGGGATTTTTTTTTTCTTTTTGCTCTTCTGTTTGGTTCCTTATAGTTCAGATCACTAAAAAAAATTCTTGAAAGTTACAGGCTTACAAATAGATTTCAGACTCCTCAGCATAGCCTTTACAGACATTGACACTCCAGGCTCATAGCCCATAACTTCCCATCCTGAAATGTGCTTTTGCTGTTCCACACTGCCTGGAATATACCTCCAACCTGGCCCTCTAACTCACGTTCACTTCCATTACCTGTGCCCAGCCCACTCGTTCTTCAAGATCCAGCTCAATGCCAGGCTCTCCCTCTGCCAGGAGTTGTGCACGCTGCTGGTAACGCACCTCCCACACTGTGCTGTGCTTATGTGGGGTCTGCCCCTCTCCCCCCCCCTCTCCATGCTGCACTGATGGCCCAGGACCTGGTTTCTGTATCCTCAAGCCCTAGCACAGTGCCTGCAGAGGTGTCCTCAGGGAATGTCTGCTGTCTTGAAATTGAACTGAATGAGGCCAGAATTTAGAAACCCAAAGTTATTCAACATAATTTATGTTTAAAGTGCCCAAACAAAGATGTATTAAATGAATCGGCTTGATGCTGGGTTTTTTTATGATTTCCAGTATCTTCATCAAATTAATTCAGTGAGTTAATCTATAAAAAGTTCATCTTCAAGACCATCATCAGACCACAGAATTAATCTACTGAACCGCTGCTGCTTTTTTTAAAGGATTAATGGTAACCCTTTTTATCTTTTGTGTCTGTTGAACCTTAGAAAAAAGTTATTTTAACAGCACTAAAGAAATGAAAGTCACTATATTTCATAAGTTTAGCCTGTGATTTTTATCAGCATAGTGATGTATGTTTGTAGCTGAGTTTACATCAAAAATTATTCTTAGGGCCTTCTTGAATGAATTATGGCAAAGAGAGAGAGTCTAGAAGTAGATAAGGTTTTTGATTTCTGCAATATATTTCCCTTTTCATGGTTTTTATCTCCTGTAACACAAGTGTCTTGCTGAAGACTAGAATGTGTGACCAACTAAAATAATTTCGTTGTGAACACGGAGCGAACGTGTTATTAAACAGCCTTCTTCACAAAAAGGGAGGATAATGAAGTTGTTCCTGGTCTTACTTGAGACGTGTTTGTCAGGATTTTGAACAAAAAAAGAAATGATTTTTTAAAACCTTCAAATATGGCCAGTTTGCAGTGTTTATTGAGAAAGCTGCTGTCAAACCATTAATTTGGTCGTCATAAGGAACACAACTCAAGTTTAATGGATGCCATATCCGAAAAGTGTGTGAACAGCTGAGTTGGCAGAGGGACTGAGCATTAGCGCGCCTGCAGTGAAACGCATAATTACGTCCATTGTGGGCCAGAGGGACCAGGCTCTGGAGCCAGGCTCCATAAAGAGCAGCTCTGAGGCTCTTTCCCCACCTGATTCTCCCTCAGGTCGTGCTCTCGGAGGGAAGGTTTGGTGCGCTGTCCCTGGAACTGAATGACTAAATGGATACACACCTTTTTAAAAATTGGACATGTAAACATGGACTCTTAAAAGACTTAG